CAGGGGCTGGGTCTTTCTTCCGTCAATGCTCTGCTAGCTGACAGAGACCACGGCGCTGTGGAAATAGAAATGGGAGGGGAGAGGCTGGTAAAGGAACTGCTTAATGCCACATGACCTCAGTCTACAAACCTAAGTACCACAGCTGACGCTGTTCCCCAGGAGAGCTAACACCCAGAGCAGGACTGACCTGCTTGAGTTCCTGGTTCCAATACTCTTGGAAGTCAGGAGGCTTCAGACAGGGAAAATGCTAAAGACTTCACAATGCCACATGAGGCTCCTCTGCTAGCTCCTCACCCACAGACAGCTGTGCTGGGGAGGCGGAGGTGCCCAGGAAATCAAAGTCAGGCTCTCTGAAAGTCACAGTGACTCTGCTTCCCTCTACTGTCTGCTAGTCACAGCCGAAGAAGAAAAAGAGAAAAAGGTTTATTTTATTATTTCAGCATAAAAATCCTAAAGGCCTCGGGGAAGCTCCTGTCCACACATTCCAAAGCAAATCTGTAAAGATGGGGGCTGGGGAGCAGGGAAGCAGACAGCTGTTTAGAATTCCTGGCTGTGCATCTAATGCCATAAACGCAAATTTAAGCTATGAAAAAATAAGTAGTCCAAGAGGGAAAGAATTCAGCTTGCTGGGGTACCAGAGGACCAGTTTCTGCAGACCGAATAAAATGCCGGAGGCTCCTGGCAATCAAAAGTACTAATGTGAGGCCTGCTCAGAAACTGCTCAGGAATCTCCCTGGGAACTGGCCCCCAGCCCTCAGAGCCAGGGATGCTGCATCGAAGCATCTGCAGCGAGAGCTGGAAAGATAACTAAGTGACAAGACTCTACAGCTCCCTTTCAGTGACAACCACGAAGTCCTGGGCGAGCAGCTGACGCATTGAAGCTGTAACAACACAAAGGGCGGCACAGGCACACGGCTGACATCAGGGCAGAACACGTGCGCACACGCAGAGTTAAAAGCCAATCCCAGAGAGTCTGGCGGTGATATGCAGCCATGCTGCTCGCGGAGAGGTGACAACACGAGAACAAGTGGTACAAGCTAAGTGGTGCACACACATTTTGAATCGCAGACAGGCTGTTTTAGAAACGAACACAGTTAATTAGGCACAGATGTGTAGTGTTTTCCATGACCTCTTTTTGAGACGTCTGCCATGGTGCTTATTGGTGTCTTATGATACACAGTGAAAACCGAGGAAGTCACCCTAAGATCAATGGTCTTTGCTGAGGGACCCCCTGGGCCTTCCCCCGCTGCTGTTGAGGGGCCGTGTCATGTGCTGCCATCGACAATGACTTTCTGTAGAAACACTGCGTGTGGCCCATCAAGTCCTTAAGTTGAGCTGCATGCATGTTCTCTGTCTGCCAGGCCCCAGGACTCAACGTTTCAGGGAAAAGGTTCGATGTTTTAATTTCAAGGAAAGTTTTCACTTCAGTGTCTTTCTCTTAATGGTTCAAAATGGAAAGAAGCCAGAGTTGAAAAGTTATTTATTATCTTTCCTCCATTAATTTGTACATGTCCAACAAAACACATCACTTGCAGATCCATGAAAACTATCCTGGCTTTTCCAATTTCTGGAAGAGAAAGATGAGGTCCACAGCCCAGCTGGACTATGGAAATGCCACCGTGGCAAGGAGGGTCCAAGGACTGCGCGGGAAGGAAGTGCTGCGGGCACCTGACTCTCAGCGGACCGATACTCTCAGGAACAGCAGAGCCTACGGGGCCTTAAAAACAACCTGCCGTTATCTCCTCGCTTACGAGAGGAAGGAGCTGGGTTGGGAAGGAAACCTTGCCAGTTGGTGGCAAAGAGGAGGCTCGAACCTCATTTTCCCGTATACCTTAGCATCAGTTATTCTGACTCTAAAAAATACCTTTGAAAACCCAATGGGACTGATGATGATCACTAATGAGCTAAGTTTTCAAACTAAAATACAAAACTACTTAATAGTCCACTTTGTCTAGTTACTGAGTTCTTGGTAATAAACACGAACTTCATTTGCCCTCCCACCAGCCTCACCATCTTCCCTCAAATGCCTGTATATGCAAATGAGGATGTAAATCAGTGAGTCCTGTGTTACGATCAAGGTGCTTTCAGATGCTCTTACCTGCTCTTGGTCGCACTTGGGAGACCTCGTCAGAGAGTTTTCTGCAAGTTCTCTGGCTGTGCCTGAACCAAGAATGACTTTTGAGTTCTCATTAGATGACTGTCAAAGTCAAACTGCCTTTCAGTCAAGAACCATCAGTCAAGAAGGGAACACTACGCCACTTCAGGACCTTTGAGGGTATGAGTTGGTTTCAAGTCTTGATCAAGTGGTAGGTTCAGGAAGTGGCTGAGCCATCAGTGAGTAGTAACTTTCAAATCACATAGTCAACTCTTTATAAGGGGCAGCTTGCGAGAGAGGCCCTGGCAGTTGTCTGAAGTGCTGCCCAATGCCGTGATCAGCAAGCACACACTGAAGCCTACAGGGTTTCAGTAATATGCCATGTTCTGGATTGGTGTGATTCTAACATTTGAAATGTTTTGCAATAAGGCATTAAACTGCTGGACTTTGGAGGTAGGTTTGCAAATCACTGGAAAATCAAAAGAGAAACATATTGTGTTAAAAAAAAAAAAGTGACCCTAAGTTTGAAGATGTAGGATACAGCATACGGAACACTAAATTGTCAAGACGCATGCCAACATGTCCTGTGATATCAGGGTTCAAGTTGAATAACTGGGGCTGCATCTTAGAGTCTATGTTAGAAACGCAGCATCTCAGCAGGATCTCCCTCTCAGGAGCATGCCTGCTCCTTTCCCTCCCCGCTTCCTTCCACACGGGCGTGCATCTCCTAAACTATAAGGCAGCAGCCGCCAACCTTTCGGACCTCAAGGACCACTAGTGGTCCATGGACCATTGGTTGGCAACCACTGCTCTAAGGGACTCCATGAGATTTGTAACCAGGGCAGCGATGGGCAGTGGCAGCTCACTCCTGAAGCTTTCTCTCACTCTCCAGTGGCTGACACAGCCCTGCCTTGGCTCACTTTTTTCCTGCAATGTTTCTGGAAAGCCAGAGCAGCCCTGCCTAGTCTCTTTCCTCTTGTTTTCTCTACCCTAGGCCCTTCCTTGTTCCCCAGCTTAATAACGTCCTCTCAAAATCACCTGAACGCATGTTGTGAAATCTTTCCTGCACAAAGTCAAGAACTCACACACTCCAGGCCGGCCCGAGGTCAGGTCCTTGCTTGGTAACATTTTCTGATGACCCAGATGGCCCTTGTTTCTGGAGCCTATGAAGCCCAGCTGGCTCACTCCTACCACCTCCTTCACCTTCAACTTCATCAGTAACAACTGGTGCCATTTTGGCATCAAGACCACAGGTACCATACAGTGCCGTAACTCAGATCACCTATAATTTACCTGAGCACCTGATGACATCACCAGAGATATTTAAACTGCAGATAAAGAGGATCTATCAGATTTTACTGCTTGCTTTCATTCCAACAAAAGAAATTTTGTCTTACATAAAAAAATTTTCTTGACTGAAAATCTTACAAACTCAGAAACTAGTTTATAATTTGTTCTGACCATTAACCTTTGTTTTTATTCTTCTGTTTCCATAAGCATATCTCTTATTAAATACCTGGCTGCTTGTTTTTAAAAAAAAGGAATGTGGCATCTCATACGATAACACAAACTCAAGACTTGTCTTTTACCATTTATCTTTAAAGCGGTGTACAAATGAAGTGATGCAAGTTACAATTTTGCCCCTCTTCCAAAAACACACAATATAAACCAAAACAAATGGACAAATAAAGGAAATACAAAAGAAAACTAGAATGACCTCAAAATGTTTCAATAGGGAACTCGATGAAATCTAGTTTTCCTATTCTTCTCCCTCAACTTAAAATTCACACGCTATGGTGGCCAGAGAGTACAGGCGTGACTATAAAATGATCTTGATTTTCAAAAGTGAACTGTGAAATCAGCTACACGTCTTAATCCTTCTCTTAGAGGCTATTTCATAGAAAAGTCATAAACAAAAGAATGAGGGATTGAAGCAAGTTTGACAAGAGAATCAAAATGGAATTCTGAGAAAATCTATTCTTTACAATGTCATAAAATTCATAACATATCAGACTCAAAATCTAGCCAATGAACCACCTCCTGATCCTGAAAACATAGAAAAAGGGCAAACCGTACAATGAGCATTCATCCCTCTCCCTTTCTGAAATCAATAAAAATATATTTTAAAAAATACTACATTTGGGAGACATCTGAAAATTCAAAATCTTTTCTTAATATTCAATAATTTCAAAGTTAAGGACATTTATTCCTGATTGTGGAAATATAACACTGCATTAGTTAAAGCCCAAAATATTATTTATAATCTTGTTTGTAAACCATTTAAGTTTTAACCATAATTAATGTTAGGAATACCTCCCTCTGAAATTTTGTTGTTAAAGCTTTCTGGAACCATACACTGTGTGATTTCCCTCCCTCAAGAACAGAAGCAGGAGTCATATATTAGCCAGATGTGTTTTCCACGCTCATTCTTTTTAACGAAGTGGCTTGTTTCAAAGGCTTTCTGAGGCAGCCTGCAGATGCTGCCCATACAGAAGCACGTCCCTGGGCCAGGAAGAGCGCGCCCTGCATCTGGCGACCCTTCCCACCGCACTGAGTGAGCCGGGCAGGTGCTGCCGCAGCTGCTGAGGAGTGCGCGTCCCAGCACTAACAGGCACTAGACCTCAGGAGCACCCTGGGCGTGACTTTTAACCTTTTAGCCCAGGAGATACTGGGCTAGAGCTTCTGTGCACGTGTAAGTGAAGAGCTTTCTCAACACCTTAAGCCAGAGAACGGCAGAGACCAGTACAGGAAGGAATGTTCCCGGGTGTGCATGGCAGTAGAGGTAGACAAGGGTACAACTTCAGCACAGAGACATAAAGCGTCACGGAGGGCAGTGCAAGGTGGTTAGTGAGAAGCCAAGCACTTCCGGGAGCCCTCAGACTCGGTGCCCCCACTCATGACCAACCTGCCGTGGCCCTGCATGTCCCCCAGCTCCTTCTGCAGCCTCGCGTTCTTCTCCTCTTCCTCCAGCAGCCTCCTCTTCACAGTGCGCAGCTCCTGCTGGGCCTCACACTTGATGTCATTGGCCACCACCACCGCCGTCTGCAGGTCCGCCTGAAAGCGCCTCCACTCCTCGGTTTCCTCCTGAGAATGCCAGAGCCACCACGCACATCAGACGCCCACCAGGGCTGGCACCCTGACGGGGCCTCCGGGTCCTCTGTGCCCAACACTGAGAAAGACCAGCTCGGCAGTCTTAGTGAGGCGCTGGCATCTCACTACAGGGAAAAGGCACAGGTGGGAGTCGGGCCTTCGTGCTGTCAGAGTTCTCCATCCTGAAACTGAATGGTCACTTTAATTTTACTTCCTGCCAACACTAACCTGGGCCCATGCCATGGAAATGCACTATGAAAAAACAGGCTAGGCTAGCGAGAGTAATCAGGGTATTTTTCAAAGGTTTCCAAACCTAAGGGGGATTCCGGTAAAGTGGTGGAGAAGGTCCCCATCCCTGCTGTAACCACATCTCACCTTTATCTGCTTAGTCAGAGTCTTTAGCTGCCTCTCCAGGTCTGCTTTCTGTCCCTCCAGCTTCATCACACTGCCTAGGAGCAAAGAAGTCAGACAGCAGTTGGCAGAGTTGTGAGACTCTTGGGAAAGGTGAGCAAGGTAGCAAGGAGCAGCTCCGGATTTGCAGCAGGAGCTAAAATCCACCCACTCTACTGTGAATCCCATCCTCAGCACCTGAACTCTGGGAGCCAGAAGCAGGAGGTTCTTCTAAAAGAGAGCACGGGATGAACTGAAAAACACGTGGGTTTTCGTCAGGTTACACGCAGGTGGCAGGCGCTGTGGGAAGAGACCTACAGCTCCTCACACTTGTTACCCCTCACCCTTGGCCTCCCTGAGCTCTGTACATATCGTCCTAAATGTGCCCAGTGCTGTGAGGCTTCTGGTGACAGACAGAGGAGATGACTAGTGAGTACCACGGTACCTTCCAGGCCCATTTCTAGAGCTGCAGTTCTTAATCACAGCGAAAACTCAGTCACTTGGGAGGCTTTTCAAAAGCACAGACGTCCAAGCCGCAGACTCTGACCACGGAGTTGGAATCCCCAGGGCAGAGGAATGTGGGTGTGTGTACTTTCAGAGCTTTCAGTGACGTGACTACCTCTCCCTCACTCAGAACATCTTTAGCTCCCTACTGTCTCCAGTTCTCTCACGTTACTGTCAGTCTTTTCACTTTGAATCTGATCATGTCCTCTCCCTAGTCACAATCCTTCAATGCTTCCTCGTGATCCACTGAAGAGCAGCAGTTGTCTATTAAGAATATGAATCAGAATTATCAGAGAAGCTTAAAAAGTCCCACAGGTTCAGGTCCTCCCCAGAAATTCTAATTCAGCATGTGAGGCCCAAGAATTTGTGTTTGGGTCAGTGCTGCAGAACGAGAAAATGCTCCGTAACGTTTTAATTCACTTTTCTGTCCATTTCCTTCAAGGATCTCATGAGGAGGAGTGATTATCCTTGGCTGGGTTTGTGTGTCCCTGGGCCTCCTAGTGAAAAGACATCTTAGTAATACCTTAATATCCCTGATAGAAGCTAAAAAGTTTCTTAAAGATGCATGGTCTGCATTATTGCCCGCTTGCATCTGTGATGATACAGGTGCAGGGAGTCTGCCTGACATGTGTTCTGGACATTAATTACATGCTTCTTGCTGGTGTGCCTGTGCCGACTTCGAAGGGTTTGGGACAACACAACCGAATTCTCAACAGCAGTGTATCACTAAGTGAAAAACCAAACCAAACCAGACCTCTTTGACTTTCTACTTCTCAAGTATGATGCTGTTTGAAATACACTGACCACTGACCATGGTGCTGGGCCTTCTCCTGCATTCTCAAGCATGACTACTGAGGACAGCCTGAAGACACTGACCCCAGATGGCCATGCTTTAGAGTTCTACCACATGTCAGTTCTAATGAACACTGGACTTGACACTCCCCTTAATCAAGGAGAACTGTACACAGTCAATTCTCATCATCTGTTAGTTACACGGAGGTGCCATGCAAACCCAATGAGGAAATATTAAACTACTAGAGGCCCGATGCACGAAATCCGTGCACTCAGGGGGGTTCCTCAGCCCAGCCTGCGCCCTCTTGCAATCCAGGAGCCTTTGGGGGATGTCCGACTGAGGCCGTCAGTCGGACATCCTTAACACTGCTGCAGAGGCAGGAGAAGCTCCCACCACCACTGCTGCGCTCGCCAGCCATGAACCCAGCTTCTGGCTCAGCAGCATTCCCCCTGTGGGAGTGCACTGACCACCAGGGGGCACCTCCTGTGTTGAGTGTCTGCCCCCTGGTGGTCTGCTTATCATAGTGACTGGTGGTTCTGCTGTTTGGTCAATTTGCATATTAGCCTATTATTATATAGGATTGCTTCAACAGGAAATACAGGGTTACGGTCCTATGAGCCTCTGGTCACATTTTCATAAAATGAAATGCTATTTGTGTTTTATTTACTTACTTACTTATTTATATCTGTATTGCTGAAAGTATTATATATGACCACCCTTTTCCCCAATGAACCCTTATAGTGCACCTCCATCCCCCACCCCAGGCCTTCACCACCCTATTTTCTGTATCCATGGCTAATGCATATATGCATACAAGCTCTTTTTTAAAATATATATTCTTTTTATTTTAGAGAGGAAGGGAGAGGGAGAAAGATAGAAACATCAATGATGACACTTCTGCATACTATTCTCTGGAGTAAATGTCCCACAGCTTTTTTATCCACTCATCTGCTGATGAACACTTGGGCTGTTTCCAGACCTTGGCTATTGTAAATTGTGCTGCTATGAACACAGGGGTGCACACATTCTGATTGGTGTTTTGGGTTTCTTAGGATATTCCTAGAAGTGGGATCACTGGGTCAAATGGCAGTTTCATATTTAATTTTTTGAGGAAACTCCATACTGTTTTCCATAATGGCTGCAATAGTCTGCATTCCCACCAGCAGTGTACCTGGGTTCCCTTTTCTCCACATCCTCACCAGCACTTGTCATTTGTTCATTTGCTGATGGAAGCCATTCTGACAGGTGTGAGGTGGTACCGCATAGTCGTTTTAATTTGCATCTCTCGGAGATTAGTGACTTTGAGCATTTTTTTTTCATATGTCTCTTGGCCATCTGTATGTCCTCTTTGGAGACATATCTATTTAGGTCCTTTGCCCATTTTTCAATTAGATTGTCTTCCTTTTGTTAAGTTGTATGAGTTCCTTATATATTTTGGATATTAACTCTTTATCAGATGTATCATTCATTGCCAGATATGTTCTCCCATACGGTGGTTTCTTTTTATTTTGTTGATGGGTTTTGTTTTGTTTTTGTTTTTTTGCTGTGCAGAACTTTTTATTTTGATGCAGTCCCATTTATTTTCTTCTTAGTTTACTTTGCCCTAGGAGATGTATCTATAAACATATTGCTATGAGAGGTGTCTGAGATTTTGCTGCCTATGGTTTCTTCTGGGATTTTTATGGTTTCATGACTTACATTTCAGTTTTATATCCATTTTGACTTTACTCTTGTGTATGGTGTAAGCTGGTGGTCTAGTTAAAATTTTTTCCATGTATCTGTCCAATTTTCCCAACACCATTTATTGAAGAGACTCTCTTGACTCCCATATTCTCTTGCCTCCTTTGTCAAATAATTGAGCATAATAATTCGCTTGGGTCAATTTCTGGGTTCTCTTTTCTGTTCCATTGCTCTATATGCCTATTCTTATGCCAGTTCTAGGCTGTTTTGAGTACAGTAGCTTTGTAGTATAATTTGAAATCTGGCAATGTGATTCCTCCATCTTTGTTTTTCTCAAAATTGCTGCAGCTATTCGGGGTCTTTTTTTGGTTCCATATAAGTTTTTGGAGTATTTGTTCTAGCACTGTGAAATATGCCATTGGTATTTTAATAGGGATTGC